CCCCAAAACCCCAAAACCCCAAAACCCCTCATCTCAAAATAATTCTGAATTGAAGTTTAAGAACAAAAATAATTTAGGATATTATGATATTTCTCTAGTATATTATTCTTATCTTTGTATGTCCAGAACCAATATAAAAGGATTATAGTAAAATAAATGTGAGAATTTCCACCTCTTCAATCACTGTCATTCTCTAGATTGTCAAGATAGTTATCTAAATCAACAATATCATCATCATCCACTCCCCCTGGAGTTTCAATCATTTGTTGAATCATTTTCTACTCTTCAACGCTAATTAAATTTTGATTTGGTTGATTATTTGTCAGCTCAATCTCATGTTCTTCTTCAGGTAACTGGAATGGATTCTTTGTAAATGTTTCAATATCATCTGCATTCTGATTGCTTTATTATGGTGGGCTAATCTATTAGATGTGGACAGAAGATGTTTATGCTACAGTTTTATCTGGACTCACCATCACTTTCATAGGATCACTTTTCCGATTATGATTGAGCAAAATCTGATTAACCTTTTCCTCATCATAGTATTAAAGTTTATCTTAAGTTTTTGAGGACTGCATTCTATCCCTCTGCTTTTGTTATTACTCTAGCTTTCTTTTTCTTGTTTTATCATCATCAAGTCTGTCTTATAATTGCTAACTTAAAGTTATCCAGTAGTCATCTTTATTTTCAAGATTTTTAGAACCAGCCATCAGCTTTCTCTCCTCCTCTTCGAAGTCTAGAATGGAAAGTCTTAGCTCACCATCCATTTCGTGTGGAGTTTTGTATTCTTCCTCTGGTGCAGTCTACTTTCGCTTCTTAGAATCTCCCTTAAAAGATCCTATTTCAAAATAAGATTAATTTGAAGTTATCTACCGTTAAAGAGTAAATTCGATTAATTCCTAGCATCAGTAAAGATTAAATCAATGAAGAAATCATTTGGATATTAATCATTTTTGCAGGCACCATCTAGTTCCTCCTTTGTTAATCTAATTATGTTATCTTATGCAAAGCTGGTATGAACGGTTGCTCTAAACATCGAGACTTTAGCCTGATTACTTTTGAAGTGTCGAAATCTGATCAAAATATCATTTTCAACTCTTTGACCGATTTCAAATATTGCACAAGAATCCTTATTGTAATAGCATTCTGGTAATTAACTAATGATGAATATTTAGTTTATTAAAAAAGTGAGAAAACACTTACTTTTTCTTAAGAGTTTGGAATAATCTTTGTCCATTCTTGAAGATCTAAATGTAAGGAGCACACAGCAACCTCTATCTTTAATTTTTACCTTCCCCGCCACCTATTATATCATCATCACTGACTCCACTAGTATTTAGCTACTCATCATCATCTTCAATTTAAGGTATACCATTCATGATTATTCTTTACAATATTAAAGGCTTATTTAATGGCTATATATAAATTAGCTTTGCTCTTTGAAGTTATTATTAAATCTTACAATAAAACCGTGTAAAACCTCATCAAAGTAGTTGAGATATCTGAACTGAGAGGGGTAAAGTATTTAATCCTATATTTCATTCGAAATCTAGCAGATCATTTTTAATGTGTCCTTGGGCCCACTAAATTCTTTAAAATAAAAGTAAGCCATGAAGCAGGCTGCCATTAGAAAGCTTCTTCCCTAATTTGAAATTAATAACCTCTTTTTATTGTGAAGAAGTAAAAATTTAATTGAAAGTACCTTTGTTCCCTGACAGTGCAATACTATAACGTTTTATTCGTCCATATTAAGCCACGATTGCATTGAGCTACAAATCATAAATAAGACATCAAGAGATGGGCAAGGTAAGCCAGGGAATGAATATTCCATGACCTATAAACTATCAAATGCTAAGAAATATTACTGAGTTGTTGAAATAAGAATTATCATATTTATGCTCTGAAAGATTGTAAACAATATACTGATTAGAATGCTTATCATTTAAATGCTTAGCCATTTTTTCAATGGTTTTGTCATCAGGATAAGGTGCAAGTAAAATTCTTTCTGTCAAATAAAAAAATCCTTCAATCTTATTAATGAGTCTTGTTTATGACCTTTTGAGAGGTTGTTTCGATACTAAATTTTTAGCTGCTTTAATACTTTATTCTGAGAGTTTAGGCTACTAAGGCGTTTCTTATTCAGCGTTGCCATCAGGATCTGGGAATGCTGGAGACCCTGAAAGTTCAACATCGATTTTATTCACCATCTAAGCTAACTTTTATCCTAATGATTAATCTACTTTGATAAAGAAGTTTTTGAATTTAGACATTTCTAAAGTATTGCAATAATTAAATTTTATTAATAAATGTAAAAAGTTTCAATTAATGCTCATTATAATATGAATATTTCAATTTGTCATCATTTCTTTTAATTTGGCACAAAATTTTACGAGCGGGAAACCCCAAACATTATAAAAATCTCCATCAATCTTCTCAACTAAAGTAGCACCTTGTCCTTGTATTCCATAACCACCTGCTTTACCAAAAGGTTCTCCTGTTTCTGCATATGCTCGAGCTGTTTCCTCATCCAACTTAGTAAAATATACCTTTGTAATATCAACGAATGACTCAAGCTTTACTAATTCCATATCTTGATTAAACATGCCAATAAACACAGCAGTTTACACCTCATGGTACTCAAATTCATTATATCTCAAAAGCATCTTCACTGCATCTTCTTTATCCGACGGCTTCTCTATTATAGTCCTTCCGTCAAGAGATATGATAGTATCTGCAGCAATCATAATCTCTGTAGTCTCATTATTTAATCTTAACTCATTCAATTTGTTATGGAATTTCATCTCAGTGTTCTTAGTAACATAGTCAATACTAGTTGCAAAATCTGAATGAGGCATGTTCTCTTCAAACGTGCTTGGGGACTAGATGAATTTTATACCAGCTTTATCTATTATTTATTTTCTATTAACTGAAGCAGAGGCTAAAATAATCTTTTTAGAGTTCAGCTCTTCTAAAACAGGCAATAACATATTTGCTCTATTGACTTAATTATTAAACTTAATAAATTTAAGATTATAAGGTAAAATCTATCAATCAACGATGACCTTCCTAAGATCTGGCAATCTATCTCTTGATTGTATCCAAATTTTCTAGTTTTGACAGAGTCTTGTCCATGTTAAAGCCTGGACCACCAATCTTATTCTTGCTCTAAGCCAGTTATATCTCTATTTATCTCTTTGCATCATCGGCATAATCAAATGGTGTCAAACCCTCCTTATTTTAAATTGTTGGATTCGCTCCGATCTCCATTAGATATTTAACAATCAGGTAATGTCCATGCTTTGCAGCAATATGCATTGGAGTATTTTAAAGGTACTAAGTTTATTCATCAAAACTTTAACCTTCTCTTATTAGTATCCTTACTAGATCAAGATCTCCATCTCTGCAAGCTCTCCATATGTCTATAATTGTTTGAATTTATGTATACTTACGGGTAAATCCTTTCTTGGTCTCAGGGTTTTTAGCTATATTAATAGCAATCTTTCCTTGAGAGTTTTTCATATCTCTTAAAGTGTCCTTATCTGCTTCCCATTTAAGAAGATAGTTGCATACCTTTCTATGACCATTGTAGCTGGCATAGTGGAGAGGATTCCATTATCTGAAGTCCTAGGCATAAATATATGCACCACTGTTGAGAAGTATAGCAGCACTTTCTAAGTGACCTTTCTTGCAGGCAAGATGTAATGGAGTGCACTTTTATTCATCCATCCACTCTATTTCAGCTTTGGAGCCTAGTAAAAGCTAAATAACCTAAGTATGGTTGTTCAATGCTGCAAAATGAAGTGGAGTCTTTTATTGATTACTATAAGCGTTAACCTTTGCTGCACTATTAATAAGGATCTAAGCAGACTCAAAATCTCCACTATATGCTGCATGATGTAATGCTGTCCAGCCATTTGAATCCATATTATCTACATTTGCTTTACTTTCAATAATTGTATGCAATGCTTAAGCCTTATTTTCAACATGAGTAAGAACAGCTTTATGGATTGGTGCTTCGCCAAAAATACTTAGTTTGTTATCAATTTTGTTTCCACAGTTAACCAAATGCTTTAAGTCCTTAACATTCGCTTGAGTAGCAGCGTCATTCAGGTTCTGGAGAACACCTCTTACAAATTTATCTTTACCAACTTCAAGAGGTCTCTCTGAGAAAGTTGGTGAGTTTGGGTCCGCACCTAATTTGACCATAAATCTAGAGGCTTTAAAATCTCCAAAGTATGAAGCAACATGCAAAGGTGAGTGATAATTTTAATCTTGCTTGTCAAGGATTTCCTTGAGTAAAAGTTTGGCTTGATAGTTAAAGTCCTTGACTATAGAATTATACTCAATAGGATCCATCAAGTGTTTGAATTCAGATAAAACACCCACGTATTTTCTTGGGTCAAACTTTCTCTCATCTGAAACCTCTAATAATTATAGTTCAAAGAACAAAGACAAAAAGGAATCATATCCTTCAACTTTATCAATATCTATATTCAACAAAGCTTCGATACATTTGAAACATTTAGTAAACTTGCTCATTGCTGCATAATGGATAGGGTTTCTTCTGAACTAATCCTATTGGCACAGGATTGATCTCAGTCTGTTGACAAGATCTCTCTCATATTGTTCAAACAAATTTTACACTCTAATATTGAATTCTTCGTGCCTCTTAATAGTATCAGCATCATGGAAAACAGTAGAAACTAATTTTCCATGCTTAATATCCATATTCTTAAATCTGTATCTCTGTTTTTCTCTGTACAGCTGGTCGAAGAGGGTCTTTTTCATGTATATTCTCTCAATGTTCAAAATTAAAATCATGCATTCGTAATTTCCTCTGTAGCACATTAGATGATAAAGATTTCTTCCTTGATTATCAACATTGATTTCTTAATGAATAACATCATTAGGTGTGCCTAGATTTGTCAAAAGATACAAGAATATATTTTTGAATCCCAAGAACCTAATTGAAAAAATAAGTAAATCAAAAAATTCATTAAATAGTTTACCCAGCAAGATCAATAGGATTTCTTCCGTTCTCATCTCTTTAGATAACTAGTTACAAAACATCATTTGGCCCAATTTCTTAGAATCTTTGAACAATCTTAGTTAGTTGGCCTGCATAAACTTCACTGAAAATACCACTTAATCCAAGGAATGCGTCCTTGTGGAGTCCAATAGTCACGTTTAATCTCTCTTCTTAATTCATCTTATTTTAATTTTCTTATTTTAAACGTTATTTAATTTAATTTCTTGATCATGCTTAACTACTTAATCATTAGGGGTTTTGGGGTTTTGGGGTTTTGGGGTTTTGGGGTTTTGGGGTTTTGG